CAAACATTAGCGCATACTTATAAATATTTTCCGACAATCAACGATGAGAAGTCATAGTTAACAGCTTTCGAGCACTTATGGTGAAAATGGGATACAAAAGAATAGTTAAAAAACACGTCGACGTCTTACCAGCATAATAATGTTATTGAACACTTAAAAATCACAATACCATATTAACGTCGGTGAAAAGTTGATGTATTTTAATTGTTATAATATTTGTACACCAATTTTAAGTGTTTTGTTACTTATTTGCACATAGTACACTTCCAAAAACAAGACTTGAATAAAAAGAATTAGAAAACTATTGTTAAAAGATCCCAAATGCTGACAGTTCCACGGTTCGTCAGTGATAAGTTTACGGACTTACAACGCTTAAATTCTGTATTCGATTCCCTGTGCTTAACATAGCGCAAATAGTCCATTGTGCAGTTTTGCGTTAACAACGCACAAAAGGTGCTGCCGTCATGCGACCACAATTGACATCACACTAAAAACAATGAGAACCGTACATCTATTAAGAGCTTTATTGGTTTGATTTCCCCAGTGTTTATTCCTTCAATCAACACAGTATTGTAATTCTCGTACATCAAATTTATGAGATCCTTTTTACGTTTCGTAACAGATTTCAGAATTTAATCAATTTCATATTTTTCAACACTTAATTTTTAAAAGGCAATTCTATGTAAAGTGTGAGTGTGAGTTTTTGCGAATGCTGCATTTTATAAGTCACCAAAAATTGTTATTTCTTAAAAACACAAATTAACAATTATGGAAGCTTTTGTCATTCAATGTTACTCTTTTGTTACATTACTGCCGTTTGAGCAAAAACTATCAGTATTTTCGAAATCTTGGGCGTAAGCAAGGTGATAAGGCATACGTTTTATGAAGTTGAGTTTGTTTGTTTGTTAAGCACAAAGCAGCACAATGAGCTATCTATGCAGTGCTAACCATCGGTTTCGAAATCCGGTTTTCAGCGTTATAAGCCTTCAGACTTGCCGCTTAGCCACTGAGGAGCTTAGGAAGTTGAGCGGATTAAAGCCATAACAAATATTGAATAACTTCAAACATATATGTTTGCAGAGACAAATATTCTAATACTGTCCTTGTACAAAAAAATTAGAAGTCAACACTTCAGATAATAAAATGTTATTTTCTCCATGTAGCAACTACTCGTCAGGCTTAGAGAGACATGTAAATATATATATATATTCACTCGCGTGTCTACAGGGTATTAACTTAACTTTCACCACAAAAAAAAATTGAACATTCACCGTCAGTCATATATAGTGAATTTTCCGTAAGAAATGTTTAGTGTAATAGTAAATACTCTTTCTCTTTATGACGCGACTCTGCATATTACAATTTACCGAATTTACAACAGTAGTTGTAGCTCAAAGCTTTCCCACCACGACAAAGGAAAAATGTTGGGAAGGTAAAAATTGTGTATTGAATAAATAAGCTGATAATTAAACAGCGTTCTAACCATAATTCACCTTTACAAGTCATATATATATGTATTGGGTGTGGTGAGTGTTTGTTGGTTTCCCCACAAAGCTGAGTCTATCTTATCTACTCCAGCAATCCTCAATTTTGAAGTGTTATAGGGATGGCAGCTAGTCAACATCACTCACCACCAACTCGAGAGCTGTTCTAATCGAACAGTTGGATTTGACCGTCACTTTTATAAAGCATCCACGGCCCCAAAGTGCGAACCAAAGAACCTCGGATCTGGCACCTTACTACTGGGCTACACTTGGCCCAGTGGGATCAAAATTGATAGTCGGATTGTAATTCAAAGATATTATTTTATTTAAGCGTTCAACTAAATATCGTTTTATTTTTTTAGCGCAAAACTACATAACAGGCTACCAGTGTCTGTTCACGGTGGGGAATTGAACCCCGGATTACATTAAAGATCAAAAATAGAACTTTGCCTTAGAAAAGGATGGGGTCAAATTACACAACGAACAAGGTTAAGATGTTCAACTAATCAAACAAACAAAAAAATCAAATAATTACAATTTCTGCCATGCTTTAACATGGCTGTATAATTCATTACTGAATTAAACACGCCCTTTAGCGAAATCAACGTGAGAACTCACTAGCTCCACCAAACGCAACAAAAGGTAATTAAAAATAGCCTCATATTGGCGGCAAGTAACATAAGCCTACCAGAAGATTCGTTGGATAGAAAGTAATTATACATGATATAATGCCTCCCAGTGGCACAGCGGTGTGTCTACGGACTTACAACTCTAGAAACTGGGTTTTGATATCGGTGGTGAGAAGAGCACATATAGCCCATTGTGTAGCGTTGTGCTTTATTGCAAACAAACATGATATAAAACGAAAAACATATTCTATGTACACGGCGATGATCGTTGTAGAGGAATATTTATTTCACTCTCTCTCACAATTTTTAAAACATTTATGGCTTGACTTAAAAGACGTTATGACCATTATAAAAATTCTTATTACTTTATTTACAAACTTGTAGAAGCTCATTAAAATCTAGTTTTTTTTTTATGTATTGTTCAACGTAAGTTAACTTTTGAAATGATTTGATTCACCCAGAAAACAGATGAAGTAAAACATCGCTTCTTTCTATACACGTTAGTCTTAGAATACAGTGTATAAAGCATAAGTTTTGAATACTTCATACAGATTAGTTTCTGTAGATGGCTCTCAAACATGGTAAAGAAAACTAGGCCAAGGTTTGGAGAAGCGAATATCTTATTTAGTTAAATAAGAATTTAAAAAAAATCACATCAGAAGAAATCCTTGAATATCTAAGGTTGACCGGTAATGTTTTCTCTTCGATGTTTTAATAAACTGGTGTCGTTGTACACACCAAGGAGATACAGACGTATCAGTATGGGTGGGTGCATTGGTTTCCCCGAGTTCAACAACCTCTTTTCTGAGCACTTATTTATATAACCTTGATAATACTCACTAATCATGTGGTGCCATCTATTGACATCGTAGGATAAACACGTAAAACAATCCACAGAAATGTTTTTGACATAATTCGAGCATAAGAAAATAGATTATATATTTAACCTCTGACTCAGTTTAATATTTTTAATTACTACTTCACAGAGTGCATAAACCTAAAAGGAAAATTTAGTATTACACTAATTACTTCGATACCTAAATTAAAAACTATAAATAAATATGTTAAATTGATACTACATTTGAAACTTATTTAACAGCAGTTGACAAGGCTATTAACTAACGAGTATACACCACACAAACCTGCAGTAATCTATAAAATACATTTTAACTTCAAACATCCTGTTTCACTGAAGTTTGTTATATATGTCTGTTCTTTTTTATCTAATAATATTGCGTGTTATAAAAAATACGTAATAAAACTTATCTGTGTACTGTGTAAAAGGTTACAATTTTTGTATAAATAGAAGATGATAATACGTGTAATATTATAGCTATATATCGATTTCATCTTATGGTAGAACTATGTTCAATTCATGATATGAGACGTAAAAGAAAAACTTGCGTGATATCCCAAGCTATATGCAGAGAAAAAAAATCACCTTGACCTGCTATGATCAACTTTTACTCTAAGAAATTTTTTAATGAATATTTAATAAAACATAAAATTAGCCTATAACAATGAAAAAACAATTCTTGGAAGTATTAAATGTTATAAATATTTAAGAAAAATAGAACAGTGTTTGTAAGCGTAGTGTCGGGAAATAAATATTTTCAATAACATTTTAGTAACCAAATTTATTTATACTGAAATTAACCGAACTTTATAAAAACGAGGTCACAAGTTTCATGCTGCCCTTGGGAATAATTTTTTCATTATACTCAGTCTGACATTCCAATTTCCATTGTAACACGCTTCTGCAAAAGACGGCGAAGTCAATATTAGATAACATATCTTGACAAACTCACCACAATCTCTCTACTTTACATGGACGTCGATTTTCATGATAACGTTTAACCAGACCAAAGGCACAAAAATCCATTGGAGATGCATTGGGGGATTTGAAAAGTAAGAGGTCAAATTATATTGTTATGATTCCAGTTGTATTAGCCTTCTTTCTCATGAAAACAACCACTGATTTCAAGGTCTGTACTTTTCAAGGACTGTGAACTTTTGGCTTGTAAGCCATTAGCATCTTCAAATTATTCTTTATTATCTTTTAATGGTATCAGGAAATAGGACGAGCTTTATTATGATGACTTTTTTTTTGTAATCATTGTCTTCATTTGTAGAAAAAGGCATTGATCTAGGTTGGTTTAGGTTATGGTTTTAAAATCCATTGGTGTGTTAAATGCTATGGCATATGATTTTTACTTCTTTTATGTAGAACATTCAGAGTTCCATTATTTAAAATATTGTGTTCTTTGCTCTAAATCATATAACAATCTCACTATACGAATATGTATTCTCATATAGGGCTGTGACATATGCTTGCAGTCATAAGTGAACTATGGAAGTATTGCAGAGTCAAATGGTTCACTATATTTGTTTGTTGTTAAGCACAGAACTACACAATGGGCTATCTGTGCTGTGCCAAACATGGATATCAAAACTAGGTTTTTAGCATTATAAGCATTCAGATTTACCACTGAGCCATGGTAGGGGGGGTTCACTGTGAAAGAATTATGTAAATGATAAACCTGTTGTGCATGACATATATCAACGGTGACATGCCACTGTATACACAGATTGTTTAAATAAAGTGCAATTTAAATTATGATAGATATACAAATAATAATTTCTTTATATGATCCTTCTTTAGTTTAAGTAAGCAATAAGAAAAAAGTCTAATTTTTAGCCAATTCTACATCAAAAGTTATAATTTTTACATGTGTAGAAATAGAATTTTTACTTAAGAATGAACAAGGAATAAACATACAAAATTTATATTTTTACTTTTTGCACAGAACTGGTACTAATTTAATCATATTTATAATATTCTGTTAAAGTTTCTTATTCTTAGTTTTCAAAGTTGATTTCATATATTTTACGAACTCACCACATTAAGAGGCTTCCATCCACAGCCAGGTAGAGGTAGTCCATCAGCTCCTAAAGGGCATGGAGCATCTAAGCCAGGGACCCCCTGTAAATTACATTAATTATTATACAAAGCTTTAAAAACTTCATTCATAAAGTTAGGCTGAATACTTAGTAGCCAAAACCTCAAGGAAAGGCCTAATAAATGCTCATAGGATAGTTAAGTTTCTTCTGAAACACATAAAACTGGGGTCAGATCAGTACTCTAAACATTTTAAAAACCAAAAGTCAGGTGAAGTACCATATAACATATTCAAACCCAAACCAGAATTTCAAAGCAGTCCTTTCTGCCACAAGTGCCCCTAGAGCTTTTTTTTTGACCACCCAAACAAGATTAATTTCATACAGAATAAATATAACTTTTTAGTGTTAAAATTAATGATAAAACCTGTACTGTTTCAACTAGTATTTACATAAAAATTCAGTCACAATTTGACAGATTTACTGATACTATGCTTTATGCAGAGATTTCTGACATTTACCTCATCAATTACAAAATATTCACTTAAGGTTTTGCACAATATGATTACAAAGTGATGAATAATTTGGGTTACTTTAGCATGATTCAAGAACAAACAGTCCTGCATGATGCTATGAAAGCAGGAATCGATATTCAAAGAAGATAATTTCTTGTTACAAAACATCAGGTAAAAGATTCTCAACCCTCTTGATTTCTTACCTGATCACCCTTTTCTCCTTTATCGCCTTTCTTTCCTCTCCTCCCTGCCAACCCCTTTAAAATGTACATAATATAACTTGAAGTGACCAACATCACTGAAATACTATGAGATAAGCAGCACAACAAAATGGATAATGAAATATTATAAATATTTGACCTATATTGGAACAAGTTTCAATTTTCATGCACACTGCAACTTTTCCCCAAAGAAAGAAATCAAGTAACAAAATTGTATTAAAAAACAACTTTCTGTTGATAAATTGTTATCAAAGCAAATCATGAATTTTAGAAGTATCAAGGGGCTCACTTCACTGAACAGTACAAACTTGTACCTTTATGTATACTTTACATTTCAATTAATAAATATAAGAAAGTAGAGAAAATACTTCAGCAGCTATGAAGATTCTTCTTATAACAGTCAAATAATTAATGTGAAAAATATATGAGTTATTGCTTAAATTTATAAAACCAAATAAAAAAACAACAAATCATGAAAGAAAGTGTTTGAACAAAATAGTTTATCTAATTAACTTACAGCAGGTCCTAATTCCCCTTTCTCTCCTTTTGAGCCCTGTTTATAAAAATATATATCAATACCTAGTGATAAAACATATAACATATGAAGAAAACAATGAAATGGTTTGAAATTCAACTACTTAAGCTTTAGATAATACATAAATTAAACATGTCTGCAATACACAGCGTTAGTAAAACCATGACACGTTAAGATAACACTGTAATGACATTTCACAAACAAGGGACAAAATGAGAAATAAAAAATACATGCTGATAACAAATCACAGGCACTTCGCATAACACCGATGAAACTAAAATCTGACAGTGTCAAATTGTGAAAATTTTAAATTGATCAGTGAGTAGAAATGTTATTAACTGTGACCTTTTGATCACAGTTTTATGCAAGTCCTACCTGTCAATTTTTTTCCTCAAGTACTCCTCAGTATCAAAAACAAATTAATAGAGATTAAATTAAAGGCTTACTTTAGTTACTTCTTGCATATGAAGTTATATTTTGTCAGTACACAGACACCAGTTGTATCTTTTAAAAGCATTGAAACTACTGCTCTCGTGCGTTCCTATCAATAATGCAAAAGTTTAATGCAGAGAAAATGTAAGATCATAGAACACATTTGGGGGAAACATGGAGTTTTTGTAACTTTTACTTGATGTATCTTGCAATGGCATTCTTAAATGTATTGCAGTGTGTGTGTATGTTCTAGCAATAATACTAGTTTAATTTGTTTCACATTAAATGGATTGAACTGTGAAATACATAAATATAAGCTCACATTCCACAACAGTTTCGTACCATGATCAGCTGATTGAGAACTACAGTTTTCAGCAATATCATCTCTCAACTAGGTCAGTAATAGAGACTGTTATGCAATGGAGCTTTACATGTCTTAATGTATGGAGAAAGGATTACATTTTGTTTATAATTAGGTAGTTTTTTTATTTAGTAAGAACATATCTAGAGCAGCTTGAAAACTTCAATCACTATTGGCAGAAGTCATTTGTTTTGCTCAAACATGGTTACTGAAACACATATTTTCTTATAGTAATATAAGTTTGATTTACAACATTATTAGAAAAAATTAATTTTTATATCATTTCAATCTGGATAATTTTATGGTTCATTTAAGGTTTTTAGTTAGGATGTCATTATTTCTTAATTTAGTACAGACATTAGTGGTCATTTGCAATTTATTTCCATTTTCATAAGCTTTTATCACATCCCACCCGCATAAAAGCTTACACATTTCTGAATTGCTTCAAATTTCATCACCAGCATTAAAACCTAAAGAAGTGAGTTCCCAATATTCTAACTACCAAAAACAACATTAGCTATTGAGCAAGCAGTTTTCATATTCAGATTTAAACAGTAGCAATATAATGGAATGTACAATAAAATGTGCAACATACGCATGTTTAATAACATTGTTAAGAGAAAATATTATAAATAAAGGCTTAAATATAACTATAAACACTGCATTTAAAAAAATTATAATAATAAAATTAAAAAATAAACACTGAATTTTGGAATTGATTAAATTAATGACAGCAGGGAGCAGTTGATGTTATTATGTAGTGTTGGGTGATCATTAAAAATGGAGAGACTTTCTTTAATAAAGACATAATCTATGGTTCCAGAGTTGGGAATTTTAAAGTTTTCCAAAAGTATGGGGTGGTTGTTATTCTCACTATGCAATTGGATACAATACTCAGGTGTATTAGTTGGCTTATCCACCCAAGTCTTGCACAGTGAGAATAACTACCACCCCATACTTTCTGAAATACTTTGAAACCCTTGACTTAATTTAACCAATTCCAGATTCTCAATGTTGTTTTATATTTATTATTATTATTTTAAAGATGCAGTGTTTATAGGTATATTTATGCTTTTCTTTATAATGTCTTCCCTTAACAATGTTATTTAACATTATTAAGTTTGTGCAGTGCACATTGGTGTATAGAAGACATATTAATAGTAGAAATAAACGACCTTATAACACCAAATGTTGTTTATATTTAATTGGACACTCAACATTTCGCTTTACAGCTTTTTTCAGGAGCATTCACTATGTAATCATGTCAGAATGGAAGGGGCATGTAAACCACCAGTTAGAAATCAGCTTGATTAGGCGTGTGTATGTAAGTAGAATTTTTAGTTTGTGTTTTAGTGAATGATCCTGAAGAAGCTGTAAAGCTAAATGTTGAGTGTCCAATTAAATATAAACAACATTTTGGTGTTATAAGGTCATTTATTTCTAGTATTAATGTTATTAAACATGTGTATGCCACACTGTATATTCCATTACATTGTTACTGTACTAGTCTGTTCTTTCTCAATTTCAAATTGAATTCAAAAACTACTCGCTCAATAGCTAATATTGTTTTTTGTAGTTAGAATACCGTGAACTAAGTTTTTGAAGTGTTAATATTGATGAAGGAATTGGAAGCAATTCTGAAACATCTGTAATTACAGATGGTCTTACTGTGTTTTTAATATTTATTATAAAATTTGGTTTTCCACCTGCAAATAATCTTATATGTAAAATAACAGTTGTTTTTGATTTGAAAGAAATGTCTTCAGGTATTAGCCGTAATAAATAGAGTGCTTGTGTTCAAGAAATTTGCTGAAGTTACTGCTGGTCAATACTTTTGCAAATTATTTATAACACATGAAAACATTGCTGAATTTTTAAGTACACAAGTTCCTCCTCCACTCCCTCACCCCTCCTTCAAGTATTGGTTTTTTGTAAAATCATGAAAATGGCAAAAGGTGTAAATGACCTCTTATACACCATATAAAACATAATTTTATAACAAGTACAGAATTAAATTTGTTTCAGACAACGGTTCTTATATTTCCTTAATAAAACGATGAAAATTAGAACAGTTTAAATTACTATACAATGTTTGCTTTGGAATAGCAACAATTTATTAATATTCTGTGAAGTTTTTTCTCACCCCCTGGAAGAAAAAATAAACTCAAAGTATTTATTTGTTTGGTTCCAAAACTATTATTCTTTCTAATTTTTTTTATACATTCAGTGAAATAAATGCTAAGTTTCACATCTGAATTTTAAAAGTAACTATCTATTAAAATTTACACTATTCAAACTACAATTTTCTTGTCCCTAGAGGATATATCTGGAATGAACATTATTGACATCTTTCACTTTGATGAACATTTGAAGTATTTCTTCATCATTTTTTTGCTATGTTCACATTTTGGTTAAACCAACATCATTAAAATTAAGCCTAATCCAAAATATTTTACGAAAGCCATAGAGCAACAACATGAAACAGCAATAATGACAAAATTTTCCATCAGCAACTAAAATTTACTTAGCCAAAAAATAATCATTTAAGTTTTTTCAAGTGTTAGAAACAACAGGATTTTTTTCTGTTTTAAAAACAAAGTAAAAGGATTAAAAAAAGGGTTTCTTGGAATAAAACTTTTTCTTTCAAAAATTAAGGATAATTTAAAAAGCATGGTCTTCTTAGACAACATACATCAAAGTTCTATTATAAAATAATCAGTGATATAAATAATATTTGAAAAACAAAATTAAACAAGGATGACATACATATGTTTCTCTAGATGCAACTAACAACACTTTTTGAAATGTATTATAACTAATATGAACTGCGACACTCAAATGTAGTTGTAAAATGTTTAAGATCATTTAGAAAGAAGCCACAAGATATAACTAATGTAAGCACTACAACTGAGCAGCTTTGTTGGAATATTTAGGCAAACTGTGCTTAAGAATTAGAATAAAATAAAGAAAACAGCATATGATATTGCAATTTGCAACTAATAAAAACAAAGAGTTCAAAAATTCAGAAGAAGCTTGGCTAACAGTGAAAATTGTGTCTATAAAAACAGGAAACCTTGCAAGTATTTTGTGTATTCATTTGAAAAAATGATGACCTATTTTGTTGGAATACAGCTGAAACTGACACAGGGAAAAGTGAAGTTTTTGCCTCATGTTTGCTGATGTGATAATCAGTAACAGGATAATTTGGGTGTTCAATTGCAATGGTTACAGAAATTACAGGACAGACAATAATATTTACCAACAAGCCAGGGATGCCATCAGTTCCCTAGTAAAATAAAACACAAATAACATATTAGTATGTATTGTATGTATACTATTACAAGTGTGATAACGATTGTGAGATGTCAGATTAGTGGTGATTAGATAAACTTCTCAGTAAGTTTAAAGATAACAGTTTAAAACACAAATTAATTCACCATAATACCTTAAGTGGTTTTTTTAGTATAATGAGGAAAGAAAGGAATTGAGTGGTTATTCACACAACTTGTAACTAAAACACTTTCATGTTTCAAATGTCCCTAGTTTATTCTATAGCTGAGACAAACGTGATATGGTGGAGGTTTATATTCCAAGTTAGTAAAACACCAGATCTCAAAGATCAAATTGTGGATTTATTGCTTTGTTCAAAATTTTGCATTTCCAGTCCAATATATAAGAATACATGTTCCCATGGGGGATATAAGAATGCCTATTCAGAGTTTAAACTCTAAAGCTACAAAATGTCTTACTTTTCAAATTTCTAAGTTTAATAAATGGGTTCCTAAACACAGAATATAATAATTAACTTCTCTGCCCTATGTGCAATTGATTTTAAACTATACATTTCTAAACCTAACATATAGATAAAACACAAATAACTCTTCATTTTATTATCTAAGTTGTTTATAGCCACTTGTTTCTCACACCTCTAACAACTGAATCAGTAAAACATTAAAGTATCAGTTAATGAAAATATTTATTTTTACTAAATATAAAAATTTCATGCTTTTCTACTCTGCTTTATCAAAGCATTTACATTAATATTTTTAAACATACCTTTAATTAACTAAATAATTTTAAGTTTCCAAATGAACATTTTTAATTTTTGAGCACATCTCTTAAAATATAGACAAAAATACAAAGAAATAATGATATGTAAATCAATAACAAACTGCTGGATAAATAAAAGACAAGTTAATCTGTCTGACAAAACTTGAGTCATAATAGACTGATGTAGAAAATTTTCACATACCGGCAACCCTGGTTCACCCTTCTCTCCTGGGCTGCCTCTTTCACCTTGGTCACCCTGTTGTTAAAATAAGAGTTTCCTCTAGACAGTGCCAATGAATTATATAAAACTATTATTACACTGCAACATGAAATATCCATTTCACTTTGTTTTGTAGATTTCCTATCTTTTCCTTACACAACAAAATTCTTTACTGAAAATTGTTGAATATATCAACCCCAGATCACTGGGACCACATGTAGATATAACCATTTTTATCTTGTTTCTTTTCTATGACAAAACATTGGAAACATAATTTATGTTTTCAATAATTTCCTCAAAAAAATAACTAAAAATAATATTAAAAAATAACAATTTGAGAGCTATTTTTATTTATTACGAAAGCAGTATTTTTTCTTATTTAATTAAGACTTTAATGAAGTTTCCACATCAGTTTTAACCATTTAATTCAATTAAACTTTCATGGATAAGCTCACCTTCATGCCATCCAACCCTGGAGGACCCTGGTGGTAGAAAAAAATATGGTGCAGATGTTACTATGAATGTTGTCTGCATAACTGACTGTTAGTAATTACAAAACAAAGGATATAAAACTTGAAGTGAATTCAAAGTGCACACAATAAAAACAGAAATGGGTGTGAAAAAAGGAAAGATAATGGTTAAAATATAGAAAACAGAGAATACAATTTACAAAAAACATATAAAGATAATCAATATAAAATAACAAACAGAACTTGATGACAGAGAGAAAAATAGTAGCAGCTCAGAGAACAAGAGTATTGAAAGGCTTTGATCTCACTGCTTTAGTATGTGTAAGTATATGTATTTCTATGTTAGTGTCTTCTTTATGCCATTTATGTTTGTTGTTGCTCTTTAAAACTCTTAAAACATTGTTCCCACCACCAAAATACACACATATATACACAACATCCTGACATCAGGGAAAGACAGTAAACAGTGCTGGGGAGAACACCACAGGTTTGATCTGTAAAAAACACTCTGAAAACATGGTTAATTACTAAACAGACAAAAAAGCTTCAAGGAAATAATAGTACAAACGCAACATTACAGATAAGCCACATAAAGTAAAAAATAAATAAAAACCCCAGTAAATATTGATATAATGAAAATTAAAATAATAAAAATATCAATCCTACACTTAAATTGTATAAACAAAAATATATACTCTGTCACAATACGCATAGCCTAATGTTACTTATTTGTAACTCAATATTAATACTATACTGAAATAACTTATTAAGTCTTATCATTCTAATTAATGAATCTCCACCAGTACTTCAAGTTAATCAGAAATAAAGTTCATTTTTAGCAAATGATACAGAAATATACAAAGCATTAACTCTTAACAGTTACAAATATATATATTTAAAACCTAATTAACAGAACTACTAGATATATGAGATACATCAAATTTCATTGAGGAAAAAAAAAATATCAACACTGTGGTATCAAATGTGTAGGTTAGCAAGCAAGCAAGGAGGGTCATGAAGCTTCCTTAGGTTGACTTTTGGTTGCCATGGATATGACCTAAATGATGCACTTCTGTATTAAATAAAACCCAGCCTAGACAAGTGATGCATGGCAGACAATATTTTTTTTTTTTTTATCAGATATTCACCAAATCTTCACATGTGATATGCACTAATCGTATCCAATTTTGAACTAATAGACTATAAAAGTGGTTTCCAAACTAGGGAGCAAAGAGGGTATCAAAAAGGACAAGGGGGCTGCAAGGCTTGGCTTACTGAGAGGTTAGATGATTTCAGTCAATGCTGTTATGAATATAATGCCAAACATCTCATTAATTGTGAAGGATCTTCAAACCTGGAGTTCTCACTAAAATGACAATTTGAATGGAACAGATATGTTTACTTCAACACCGTGGTTTATATACTGCAGATGTGTACGTATATGAATATATATATATGCATGTGTGTTTACACAAATATAAAATCAAAGAAGTGAGACACAGATTGTACACAGTGTGCATGAGGGAGACTTCAGGACAAAAAGGTTGGGAACCACTGAACTAGATGAAAGTTAGCTAGTTAACAACTTTTGGGCTACTTTAATCCAATAGTGCTACAGGATTTGACCATCACTATTATAATGTATCTATGACCCCAAAGTGCAGTGTGTGATTTTATGGCAAATAAACATGAAACATGGATACTCAAATTCACAGTCCAGGATGTTAACTAAGCCATGCCTAGTCCAGGAAAACAAAAGATAGATCTCAAAAGTTACATTAACATATCTCTAACTTAAAATTCAAAAGGGATTAATACAGAGAACTGATGAAACAAAAATACCAGTGACTACAGTTAAGCTTTGTTTCATAACATATGTTAGGACACATAAATATTGTTTTTTCTTTACATATCTCTAGTTTCAAATAGCTGATGGACTAAATGAGAAGATTATGATAAGTATAATCTGCAGCATACATGATTTTATCACACTTAAATTGAAAACAATAGAATTTTCATAATTTCATTCACCACACACACACAAAAACTTAAAAAATAAAAGTTTAATAACAAATAATCACAATCATCACATTTCTCAGAATAAATATTTGTGAAGTTAAAGATCTTAATATGTATATTCTAGAAATATGATAATTAAATTATCTCTGAAAGTATAGTAGTTTATTAGATTGATTTTATGCCTCCCCATACTTTGTTTACACAGTGTTGTGATACATTTAATAAACTCTCATTTTTCAACAACTGTAGAAGTTTCAAGATTACTCTCCACTAATAAAAAAATATTGTATCAGTGCAGAAGTGCATCCAGTCAACAGAAAATATTTTTTTTGTGTGGAAAACTATTCCGACTGAAGAAGGCAAGACATAGAATTTCAGGATTAAAGAGAAGGATTACTGAACAAAAATAGAAGCTGCTTAAAGTAAGACATGATAATAGTAAAGTGAAAGGATACAAGAAGACAAGAGCCAACTCAAGTGTGAAGCTAAAGAAGTATACTTGTGAGAGGACTCAAGTGTGGAAGAAACATCTTCAAAAACAGTTTTAAAGAGAGGTGAGCTCGAGGAAGATGAACACACTTTAAAAATATATTTTGAGTTAGAAAATCTTGGAGAAATTGAAACAAGTCATAATAGACATCAGCCCAACTAGAAGGACACATTTTTATAGCTTTTTTCTCATAAAATGTTTCTGTTAATAAATGAGCTCTAGACAAATGCTTTAACAATTGCAGAATTGGCAAAAGCTATGCAAATTAGAACAAGAAAGGGATAAGCTTCAGAAAAAGAGGAAGTCTTTATGTTTTGGAAAAATAATTCAACAGTTGACAGAAAATTCCAAGAACAATAAATAGACAATTCATAAAATACTATAACAAAAGAAGTGTTTAATAAATTCACACCTATGTACTCACTGAAGGACTAACTTCAGTAGTTTAACATGAAGAAACCGAAGAGAAATGATCCATCAAGAAGTAAATGGAACATCTGGTTTGGTTATTATTCAGCACAGTGTTACACAATGGACTATTTGGCTCTTCCCACCACAAGTATCGAAACCACATTTTTAGCAAACAAATAGGACAATTAGAAAAATGCCTCCAACTTAAGGAATAGACAACTAAAAACTGTTTTCTGCAACAACTGCATATCCAAGTAAAATAGAAAGGTAAATTTCATTACAGAAACATAACAGAAATGTCCAAATCAAAGAAGGAATGAACTGTCAAAAATATGACCCAGGTTATGCAATAATGACAATTAAACAGTGATAAAAATACCAGATAGAATGATATCAAGAAAAGTCAGGACCCAAGAACTCATTTCATGACCTGAAGCAAAAACAATGAACCAAAGAAAAGAAATGACAAATTCTAATTTATCACAGATTTGTGTTTATTACTGAGCCCAACAGTGTAGCCCATGAATAAGAACCAAACAAAAATAATCTACCAACAAGTGAGGCTGATAGTGAAACAGCAGAGACAAGGCCAACTGCCTTATTTATGTGAAAATTAGAATTCACGGTGTCTCACACACACACACACACACATACACAAAAAATAACATTAAAATGATGGACAACAAATCAAATAATATGACAAAAGGCAGAAATTTCCCAAATGAGGAAAAAGTTAATTAACAATACTATGTTAGGGATGTGAAAAATTTGGTGAAAACACTAATTTTGAAATAACAGTGAATGAATAGAAAGACAAAAGAAATGACAACAAAGCTATATTGTAGACCATGAATAAATAATTCAGGCAGTAGACAAAATGACAGAGTCTCTGTAAGACAATCATATAAAAAAATGGCCAGCTGGATAGTTGTACTCTGCACATGTATAAAAACAATGCACTGTACATTTGGTAGAAAATTTTAAAGTTTCAGGATTAACTGAAAATGAAAGTTAAGGCAGATTAAAAAAGTGATGATGTGAAAAGTCTTAGGACAAGAGAATATCAATGTTTTAGGTAACATTGATATTCAATATCAATTGAAAATTAATGTTTTATTATGAGATACAGCAACTTATCTTAATTTGATTTTTTTCTCATTTAGTTGTGAATTTTAATTATCTGTCTTTGCAGACAAAATACTTTGGAAATTTGGCTAATGGTTATTATGAAACTAAACTGTTAAAATAATTTAAATGGTTATTAGAAATGAATCAAGCTTGCAGTTTGAGAAAAAGAGAGTATACTGAATTTAATTAAATCTGAACCCTCTAAACCAAAGAATAAAGTTTAATTTTAAGAATACGAGTCTTCTGATTGCTGATCTGAAGATGGTCCTCAGACAAGAGAACTTAGCAAGTGTTGTGAATACAGTTCAAAATATTTTCCACTGGCTATATATATTTTTTATATATTTGCAATAAATAGAGAACAAAGAACTTTATTTTCATGTTATTTATTAGGAAATTACTTTGAATATTATGCTTATTGTTAAGAGAAGCTTTAACTTTCTGAGTGTTTCACCACAAAATATAGGTACCTACCTGTAACATTTAAACACACACACAAACACAAAAACATCATTAGCCAAAACAACTCTACCATTTCCCCCGATAAACCATCAAGTCCAGGAAAACCAGTTTCACCTCTTAAACCTCTTGGACCCTGTAATACAAGTGTAATTTAAAAATACAAAACCTTTAAAATATAGAAAGAATGATTAAATATCACAACATCAGTGCTACTATTTATCAAAACTTCATTTTGAGCTGGCTTAATATATGGATTTCCAATAAAAACAAAAGACTGCACAACAGAAGTTTAAACAACCTTATTCTCAGAAGTGACTGGAATACTCATGCCATCAGTGAAGAGTAAGTTAAAATCAATTATAGATAAATTACTGGATTCAATAATATAGAAGTATTGTTTTAAAATTGTAGGTTCATAAATTAATAAAAAGTGAAAATATAAATAAGAATTTACATATGAAAGTTATATCTTTTACAGCAGCTTCTACATTAGGCTAAAATGTATTGTAAGATAATTAATGTGTATTGATCCTCAGAGGATAATCTTTATTCTACTATGAAGTGTTCACTATCAAAACAGTAGGAAACTAAAAGAACCATTAGTGAGTATTCTCTTTATTAAGTATCAGTATTACTTACAGGTAACCCCATTGGGCCTGAGTTTCCTCTTTCTCCCTTCTCACCCTAGATCAAAACATTTAACAAACATGTATGTGAATTATACTATAGAGCATGTTTATCAGTCAGTCCATTTAAATCCTATTTATCCTTTTCTTTTTAGTCTATATTTATTTCTAAAATAAATTTAACTCCACTTTTTTGTATATAATAATTTGACAGTGTACATGCATAGATCTATTCTTAAATTATTATAATAACAGTTCAGGTTTCAACAGAATAAATATAACAATTCCTTGATTCAATATAGTCAGCCCCTTCTACTAGTAGAAAAGTAAAATATGAAAATTAAACACACTTAAACAATTTACTATCACTTACAAGTTTTCCTTTCTCTTCATCTTCAACAGGATAAATATTTTCCTTAATTCAATATAAGCAGCCCCCTCTACTAGTAGAGAAGTAAAAGATGAAAACTAAAAACACTTCAATAATTTACTATGACTTACAGGTTCTCCTTTCTCCCCATCTTTTCCTTTGTCACCCTTTATTCCCGGTGGACCTTGAATTCCCCTGAAGCCCTAAGCAGGTATAACATAATGCTGTAACTGAACTTAAAATAAGAAAAATAACTGGAACACTGTGTGCAGGAACAATATTTTCTACTGGAAAACACATAAAAAATGAGTTTTGCAAGTCCCATATTTAAATCCTAGATCAAAGCAATAACACAACTTACAAATTCATTTAGTTTAAGGTATTAACTAACACACTGCACAAAAACATAAGACAGGAAACATCTATAAACAAAACTAACTTGATTTGCTTAGTTAATTTTAAAACTTAACAGAAAACTGAGAAAAGTGCTTTATACTTAAATAATGAATTTTATCTTACTACAGTACCTCAAATGTCCTTGCTTCCTACTTTATCATCTATATTATGTTACAGACAAATACAGATCTTTATTACTAATAATCTCTCTTAGTTGCCTGGATATGTTATAGTTGCTTAACTTTTAAGTCTGACAGTTAAGAAGTACAAAGGCACTCTATTATGACTTTACTTATAAGATGTTCTAATAATAATGACAATGATGGTTTCTAACAAGTAAAAATATCTTATTTTTTTATCTTGTTGAATATTATAGAAAAAGAATAGAACTAAGAAATGAAAATAGCATGTTACAGACACTCATCTAAACTGATCAGTCTACAGCACCCACAAGTAGCCATAACTTTTTGTGATCGTTCACAGAAGTTTGATAAAACAAAGGTAACTAGTATGCCAGGAGCACACAGACAAACAAAGGCAACATTTACAACTACTTCTATTTACAAGTTAAACATAGAAATATTTTTAAGTTACAAAGGAAAAATTAAGTACTTACTGGTGGGCCAGGTGGTCCTGGTGGGCCTGTTATCTGAAAATGAAAAAATTATGATTGAATGTTTAACACTCTTAAAAGTTTTCATTTAAAGACATAAAATTGACTAGAAAAAATATTTTTCTTTTAAATAGACATGTGAATTTATTAAAAAATGATCAACAAAATCTACTTTGACTACTTTCTTAAACAAAAATATTAATAATTTTGAAGGGTTAGTTAGTTTGTTAGTTTTTTAATCTTGCACACATTTTGCTGTCCCTAATTTAGCAGTGTAAGAGTAGAGGGAAGGCAGCTAGTCATCACCACCCACCGTCAACTCTTAAGCTACTCTTTTACCAACAAATAGTGGGATTGACCATCAAATTATAAGGACCCCCACAGCTGAAAGGGTGAGCATGTTTGGAGGGACGAGGATTCGAACCCACAACCCTTAGAATGCGAGTTAAGCTCTCTAACCACCTGGCCATGCTGTGGGCTTTTGAAGGGTAATAGGTTTTTAAAATTCATGTATTATACTCATAATTTATATTATGTGTTACTTAAGGAAAATACACAAGTGTATAAATATTTTAAACCAAGATTTTGTATTAAAAATGTAAATTTTAATAACTACTAGCAATCTAAATAATGTACATATATTATTATATGTGATAAATAATACATTGCATAAAAATGAAATAGTTTGTATGTGTTTTCATATAGTTTTCTAAGAGTTTAAATGAGGTCCCAGTTTCCATAAAAAACAAATATAGATTAAATTAATAACTCATAATAATTAGTAATCAATATTAATTTATATTTTCTAAGTGAAAAAACATGAAATTTTGTTACTCTAATATTCCAAATGTTTTTATGAAACTTTTCTAGAGATTTGACTCTTAAGGGCATATTTACAAAATAGTCCAAGAACTCAACTACAATGACTAGATGAAACCATGACTTTCTTATATAATTATACATAAGAGAAAACTGATTAAGGAACTTACAAGTTCTTTTGCACCTTCTATGCTACCATTATCCTGGAAAAAATAAAAACTATATAATTCAAGCAACTTTAAATATTCAACCAAAAATACAGTCAAACTTTTCAGCCTGGTCCCTCTACATACTGATAATACCTTTCAAAATATTTTCCAGTTTAATAAAGGTGTATTTCATTTTATCACCTACTCCAAAAACTGCACATGTTATCCATTCATAAAGAATATTATTATTTTTTTGTAAAAGTAACATTTATAAACCAATTAAGAGTCAACCAAAATCATCACAACATGCATACTTGCAGAAATTTTGGAGTTGGCAAATAAATCATTAGAGCTAGATACCTGACACAGAAAAAAAGAAAGACATTTATGTTCTTTAAGTATTGAAAGGATTTACAATTTGTCAAAACAATAATTCAAAAAAATTGCTCATAAATTTTGGGACATAAATGATGCTATACAGAAATAGTTCGTATCATTTTGATATATTAATTTATTATTGTATTAAAATTCATATAATTTTTTAATTGAATTACAAATAATAATAAATATTAAAATAACTATTCCATTCTCTTTTTATTGTATCATGTGCTTTGCTACATTTGGTTTCATTTTTATAGTTACTGTTATTTACATTTGAATTCACAAAACAAGCCACTCTTCCAAATTGCATGGCCACATTCCCTGGTCCCAAATTTGTCTGTCCACTTTACACATGAGCTTTACTGTAATACTGACCATCCTAATCTAGTAACTTCTTCCTTTAATAAGAGATTTTTCTACAAATACTTTTTATATAAATTATAAGAAGATCAAATATTATGACACATACATATTTTAACACGTATTAATATCTCAAAACATTATTCTAAAAATGGTAGAATATATATTAGGCTGTTTTATTTCCAAAACAATTAAAAACCTTTTGGTAAATGCTGTTTTTTCTAGCTTTAATATGAACAGGGCTTTAAATGTAAAATATATTAATAGTTTTATACATTCAAGTATTATTTAAATATAAACAAAATATGTGGTAAACTTTTAAAGATACACAAACAAGTTTAAATAATAACTTTGAAAACTGAAAATCAAGCTTATGGTTCAATAGGGGTTCAAGAACTTAGCAGGTAACAGAATAATGAAAAATTTTCAACATACCTGTTGAATGTACCTTACAGGAGACTGACAAAAAGAACCAAAAACAAATAATTAATCAATCTCTAATCCAATGGTTCTATCTCAAAACTCATCTACACGTAACATCATAATTTTATAGAAGTTTAGTATGTAGCAATGTAATTGTTCTACAATATAGATAAATGTAGCCAAATTTATAACTTTATTACAGCATAAAACTTCTCCCATACAAATAACCAATACTGTGATTTTATTATAATACCAGAACCTGATAAAATTAAAACAAGTGAACTATATTTCTAACAGCTGTTTTAACTATTAATGTATTTTTATAACACTAGCCAACAACAAAATTTGTTACTGGGGAAGACTCAAGACTGATTCGAGGTAATATGATGGTGCTGATTTCAAAAATGTAGTCAGAACTTGTCCACCACCTGTAGATTTTGTGTTATTGTAATATCTCAATATTTTATGAGCGCTATGTGAAATACCATGCAATCAACTCAGTACATTAGATTTATGACATGAAATTAAGTTTACTTGGACAGTTTAATGGATAAAAAGCATACATTTTTGATAATTTCAAACACTGTCTGTATTGTATTGGTGTAAAATTCCAAATATATTATTCATATATGCTATTTATTCTCAATATAATTTTGGCAAATTACCCCACTTTTGCTTCACTCCCATGCTTACCTGCTCCACCTGGGAATCGTGAAACTCTCACATGTTCAATTTGTTAGAACATTTGAGAAGTCCCTCAACTGAGCATAAAAGGGGCAGAGTCAGAAGCCTTTCTTTCAGTTGCCTCTTATTCACTCACTTGGTCACTTTGCCTTGCTTTGTGCACAGTGAAAACGAATTCCAATCTTCTTCCTCGTATCATACCCGCAATACAATCAAATTTTACAAAGCTTTCTTTTTTAAAATCTTTAAAACTCTAGTTTTATAAACATAAATTTTTTTATATTTTTTAGAAATTCATTTGAAATGCTGGCTGCCTCCAGTTCAAGTAAAGCCTGAAAGTGCAAAAATCACCCAAACAGTTTCTGCTATATTTGTGGAAAATATATTACTTTCATGAAGGAAAACATCACACACACAAGGTAAAGGTAGCTTAATACCACTATTTTGGGTTTAAAATTGAGGACCAAGAAAAACATGAGGTTCCACATGTTTGTTGTAAAGTTTACACATCTGGCTTGACATAGTGACCGAATAAGAAGAGAGTAAGTATGCCATTTACAGTTCCCATGATGTAGCATGAGCCCAAAAATCATCTAATTGAGTGTTATTTTTGTAATGTTTCTTGATATTCAGGCAAAACTAAACAATACATTAAATATCCAAATACTGCATCTGCAATGAAAGTAGTACTACATGGAAATGATCTTCCAGTGCCACATCTACCAGTGAATTGGGAAGAAAAGTTATCCTGCAAAGAAGACAATGAATCATGGGGAATATCTTGGCTGTCATATACATCAATGGAATTTATTAGCTCCAGGAACAAGAGTTTCCATTTACTGAAGTTTGCCATCCAAGTCTTGCTTCTCACTACAGTATGCAAGATACTTAGTGTTTCTGCATAAATGTTGATGGACGAATGGAAGAATTAGGTACTGGACATCATTCTCAAGAATAGAGACTTTCTTTTGACTCATCTAAAGTTAGTCTCAAAGCTGTACTTTTGCACAGTGGGAACACTAAGCCTTGATTCCTGTTGCTCATGCTGTGAATATGAAAGAATCTTATCAAATAATACAGATTATACTTGAGGCCATAAAATATGATAATCGTGGTTGAAATATATGTGGTGATATAAAATTATTGCACTCTTGCTAAGCCTGCTGAGTGAGTTGCTACTTTTGCCACTGAGACAACCGAGATGAAAAAAAAAATAAATGGCCAGTGAAATAGAATTACATACCAGGGAAATGGAATATCAAGCATCAACTTTTAGTGAATTAAACTGGGATTCATGAAGAATTTTGTAAAAGGAATGAACAAAGATGGTAATGGTTTCAGATATCTGTCTGACAAGTTTCCAAAAATCAGTGAAGCAAAAATGAAAGAGGTATCTTTGTTGGGAAACAGATTCGGGAAGTGCTGGTGGATGATGATTTTGAAACAGTGCTCAATCAGAAAGAACTTGCTGCCTGGAAATAATTCAAACTTGTTGTAAAAAATTTTTTTGGAAATTACAGAGATGAAAACTATGCTGTGATGATTGATGATATGCTTGAGAACTACAGGAAAATAGGGTCTAGGATGTCACTAAAGATGCATTTCTTGCACTCCTGTTTATACTTCTTTCCATATAATTTGGTGCAGTGAGTGATGAGCATGGTGAGTGCTTCCACTAAGATGCTTCTACAATGAAACAATTTCAGGGGTGATAGAATCCTGTGATGATGGGAGACTTCTGTTGGTTCTTACAGCATGAAACTGAGAACATATACAAATGTTGCAACAAGTCAAGTAGATATTTTGTAACAAAAATTGAAAATAATACCATAATGAAAGTTTTGAATGTAGCCTGAATGTATAGTAAGTATATATAATCTTATTATACTCATTGCATTTTAAAACTGGTATTGCTATTATGAATTGTTTTTGAACATTCTTAAATGCAATTTTCAATGAATAAATAAAGTTATTAAAGTAAAAGATATTTTCACGGTATATAAAAATATTTTGAATAAATCTATTATAACTCAAAAACTAGAGGTGATCAGTATTTTTCAAAATAGTTTTCAAATTCAGTATCATCATATTACTCAAACTGTTACATTTTTTCTAGTAGCAGAAATTTTTTTTTTAACTGCTCAGTGTAATCTAATACACATATGACCAAAGTAATAAACTTTTACTATGTCATACTAATGTTATTTAATACAAAAACGAATAAAAGTAAATTCAATTTCCCTAAGGACTAAAATACTGGTGTCACAAATACAAATGGCCAATGTTACAATTTTTTTTATAAAGGCAAAATAACAGCGTTTCATATAAAACGCTTAGTTTAACACTTATTACAAATACAGAAAAGTGAAATCACTTGTGAAAATAACCAATGATATAATTATTTCATAAGAATAGGAAATTTCTATTGTCATAAATTCATAATACTAACAAAATAATGACATTTAATACAAATAATTATTCTTATGAAGGCTAAATAAAGAACTAAAGATGTCATGTAAATACTACAGACAATAAACTTCTAACATACAACTAGGAAAACTCATATGAGTGAAATGCAATACAGTGGGCAGGGACTGTCTCAGAACACAGGTTCTTATTGTTCTGATGACATATCAGAAGTCTTCTGTCCTTCCTTCAGACCATAAAGAAACTGTTTTCTGCAGCAGTCATCACCAATTGTATCACATTTACTCATTATTCATACAATGCTTAGATCATACAACAAACTATACTCCCACACAGCTTGTTATCAGTACATTCACTAGAAGAGTCATGAAATGACTGATTAAACTTCAGGTTCATTAATTATCAAGAATTTATGGTTGAGCTTTAGTAAGTAAGATCTTGGTAATTAAGTTTTGATCAATAAGATTTTACAAAATACAGAAAAAAAACCTGACCTGTCAAATTTTGATGAAGTGAAGGATATCATTAAAAAGAAGCCTGAAAATCATATAAACAGGAAGACCAAAAGCATAAGATTATAGTGAATGATACCTATCAAAAGACCTTGCCTACAAAATTTTTCTTGGTAATAGTTTGAGCTTTGTTTGGATAATTTCTTAAAATCAGCAACAATTTTATATTAACTTATAAAAACAGAGGGGCATAACAGTAATAAAACACAATTATTATTCATTAATTTTCACAAAATCCATCAACTAAGTAACCATCCTCACAATTCAAGCTTGAAATATGTCAAAAACATTTCTTGACTTATTCACACATCAGATGTTACGATTTTCATGTGAAGGAAAAAAACTTGAATAACCTGTTTTTATATATCTCCTTTCAAAATAAAGCTTATGAGGTTATATGCCATTATAAAATTTGAGACATTTCTTCAGAATTAAAGCAATTGTGGAATAACATACAATTACACCTGCCATGTTTTCCAATAGGTATACATCATACCAACCACCAGATATTTCTCTGTTCAAAGCAATTATATTTTAGTCCAAAGCTACACAATAAGCTATCTGCAATCTACCCACCATGGGGAGTCAAACCAAGGATTTTAGAAGCATATGTCCTCACACTTATCACTGATTCACCAGGAGACTCAAACAAAGAACATTCCATTATATAAAACTAGAATTCATGTTAGGTTTTTCCAGATGTGTATCAAAGAACTGACCAACCTGTGCATGCCAATGACTTCAAAACCACACAAGTGACTGCTAAGGAATATAGAAATTACTATGATAACTTAAAAAAACATCAGTGGGAAATAAATAAATCCACATACTCCTGTTGATTTTTACACATTTTTTTAAACCAATCATTTATATATCTTTTTAACAAATCTGAACCTCTTAATAATAATATACCACGACAAAACTTGTAAAAAGTTACAAAGACAAACAAAATTACTATACATAGATGCAAATTTTCACCACTGTTTATTTATCACAGAAAAATCATTAAACAAATACAATTCTGTGAATAGTCTACCACATACCTTTTTTCTCAGATCTAGCACTACAGAGCTACTATTCAAGAACAATATTGTTACGAAAGCGGAAGTCACGCGACGCTGGGAGCATGCGCACTGGAGTTTCTCGAAGGATGGTGAAGGCTCGAGTGCATTCGAGATGCTCTCTTTTTAGTATATAAGCCTGGCGTGAAAAACCAGCGGGATTGAAGAGATAGATAATTGAGTCAAGCGAACAGAAGGTACCGTAAGTAAAGTGTGTGAATCACTGTGAATTATAGCGTGTGTTATAAAGGTTGTTAAGTTTAAAGTGACTGTAGAAATTCTGTGTATCACAAAAAGTTGTATCAAGAAAGAATAAACTGATTTAATCAAGAAAGGACTTGTATTACTGAAG